TAGGCTTAACTCGGCTCAGCTCAGCCCACGAGCTTGTGGGCTAGCTGAGCTTGAGCTCGGCTCGTTTTTCACGAGCCCGAGTCGAGCTCGTGGATTAAAGGGCCGAGCTGTCAACCTAAAAGTCAACCACTCAAAATTAAAGATGAAAATTAAATCCAAGTTTGGCCGTGTTGATGGCGATGGATTACATTGTGTTCGTGGTGGTTGATTTTTGGGATTTTCTTATTGTTTTTCTTTTTGATTTTGCAGTGGTTGAAAGTGCTGGTGTTGATAATTTTACATCAATTCTCTTTATTTTTATTCACCGTTGTCCAAGAATATTAGTAAATAGGAAAAATAAAAAATATAGTGCATAAATTAAAGTGATCGTCAAAATTTTTCATTATATGAAAATTGTTATAACCATATAGAATTTTACTCACCAATTCAATCCTCAAGTATTACAAAGAAAAATAAACTCGAGTTTTACCACACCAATTTTTCTACTCTTTGTATGAAAACTCTCAAGATGCTAGGTTCACAATATTTCGAGCTCAAATCAACTCTCAAGCCACACCCAACATAATGAAATACATCTACTATTTATAGGATCAATAACCAAGTAGAAGAGTTTAATTTTAGCTCAAATAAGGACTTCTTCATGTGCAAAACTCCAAAATTGGCTGTAAATTGGAGACCAAGTAATGCAAGGACTCTAGTCTCAACTTTAATTATAAATCTTCCATACAATCATTACCTTTTATTATCTGCAATAGAAGTCCTCCAACTTTTAACTTTTGAGACAATTACCCAACCGCTGGCGGGTAGACGAAACTCTTGTATGTCAGCAATAATGGTAGATTCATCATGTTGCAAAAGCCATCGATTGGTTTCTCCATTGGATTTATGGCCTAATTCTAGTTAGATGAAAAACCCCTAGTTGACAATTTTGTGGGGTTGTTTAAGGCGTGGTTGGGGTAGGGCAATGGTGGTGCAGTTTTGTAGGTTCGTATTTGGTACATATGGTAAAGATTTGGTGATGAAGTGTTAAGGGTCTGGTGACGATATTAACAATAAATGATAGAATATCAGTGGTACATGGTGATAATAGGTGTGAACTTGAAAATTTACAATTTAATAAAAATATCCACACCACGACGTAGTGCAACTTACAATTTCAAAATTATTACATGTAATGTAACATGATTTAAATGTAAATTAATATATAGTACAAATTACATTCTCTTATTAAAAAAAATGCATACTCGTTACAAAATTACAAATACAAAAATTTCATTTGGTTAAAAAATTACAGAAAAATTAGATTACTTATATTGTAATAACAAATAAACAAAATTAAGCTACATCTGATTTTCGAAATTCTTATAAATTCATGTGATTTTTCAATTTGGTCCATTAAATACCGTCTAGTTGTATAAGTAAGAAAGCAGTCCAAACATTTTAGTTTGAATCCATGAAGTAAGCCAATTCGAGCCCAACATTTGGACACGTCGAATCTAACATTTACACATCATATTAAATATAAATTGTTAAAACAATATATCTATTTATTAAATATAACCTTCAATATTAAATTTGTCAATTATATATCATTTACAATTATCATCAGCTAAAGCGTGATGAACTGACAATTAAACTCGACAAAAGGTCGAAAAAGATTATTAAATTTTGTCGTAAACTTTAATCCAACTTTGTCTATGCTATTGCGGGAGGAGGTTTACAAAGTCAAAAGTAATTGTTGGCCTTGTTTCCATTTAATCAAACATATTAGTAAAATCTTCAACATTTTGTTTATTCTAATCATTGCTTTGCCATCTTAATTTCTTCATAATCCGACCGAATCATTAAACTTGGAAGTGTTAAGTACAGACAATGCCCAATAATGAGAGGAAATTAAGGAAAAAGCCATGCGACAAGTTTCATTGACAGAATGACAGTTACTATAGTTTTTGTCCCGTTCGTTGCACTTTTCGATATTCATGTATTTGATCATTCCGAATTAGGTATCTTCTTAATTACTTGATATATCGTATCAATTTCTCTCGAAATAACATACTCTTTATCGTGTCAAGACATGTTTATAGTAATATATCTGAAAATTTATAATTTAAAAAAAAAATTAATAAGTTCTATCTTTTTGTCTCAATTTTGGTCGCCCACCCTCCACTCGAGTTTTATTTTACTTTATTTTGCTCTAAATCGATCTCTAAAGTTAAGTTTGTATTTCATTTGCCATAAATTGGAGAGCTAAACGTGTAAGATGTTCGTTGAATTTTAGTTCGACGTGACATTTGTCCATATTATATTCATGTGAACATAAATTATTTTTCCATTTTATAATAATCGCCTTACATTAACCAATTGGTTGCCGACCAAGTTCTAAGTAAGAATTAATTACTCAATAAGTAGTAGGAAATGAATTGAAGTCTTTATCATTGATGTTTTATGGTTGCCGACATAAAATGAATTTCTTAAATAGGCCTGTTATTAATAATTTTCATTCTTAGGTTGCCTAATCTGTCAGAAAAAATAAATAAATTATCAACTTTATTATAAACATATTCTAAACTATAAATTGTTTTTTTTATTATTTTATGTGGGCTGGTCCCGGTCCGGTCTAAACCGTTTATTACAAAAAATATTAAAAATATCGAGTGATGTTATATCAAGTTCTATTGGAAGCGCAACTCAATGGGGGATGTTTGGCTCGACACCTCTTAACTCAACATTATGGTAGAAGTAAATTATCAAGCGGACTTTTAAAGTTAGACAAATTTTCCAATATAAAAAGAAAGGGTCCCATGTTGCCTCTACAAACCTAGAAATGATGAAACAGCATGTATCTACCATGAAAAGATTGTCTTTATACAAAATCCTATTATAAAAAATTAGTGAATTCGATTGTGTGGGCGCAGGCGCTCTTTTTTGGGAGGTGATGAAATTAAATTTTAAATGATTATAAGTTGTTGATCTAATGAAATATGTAAATCTTACAAAATGTATGATTGGAAATATGTTTGTTCAGAAGTGATTAAACTATAATCACCTACCAAACTAACTTATGACGACTACGTTATCATTTTTAAATCATAATCGTGATTTTTAAGTGTAAATTATCAATGATGCCTTGACTCGTATTTTTCAGGTTAATGTCGTTCACAAGACAATAGTGTATTTAAGAAAATTTTACAATAAAACAACAGTACTATACGAACAAAAAATGTTCATGATTTTCTTGTATTGCAAGAAGACATTTTAGAAATTTCAACACTAGTTTCTCGACTTTTTTTCATCATTTTTAAGAAGGCTTCCTCAAAGTTGTTGTGTAAAGCGTGTTCAATTACTTGAGTCGTCTTTGAAAACTTTGATGGTTGCATTGAATTCACAATTGTGTAGAAAAATAAAATAGTCGAGGCATCGGAACACAAGGAGTCGCTTTTTGTATGATTTCTATGCACTATGTTTGTTTGTTCTCTTATTGAGTTCGACATAATCGAACATGATATAAGAAAAATAGAAAGAGCTAAAGGGCAATGAAGTTAAAATGGAAGTAGAAAAACATTGTAGAGATCTAACAAGACACCTAATCGAATCGACCTGACGAAGAATAATGTTGTGAGTTAGCATAATAAATGGGACAATTGTCAGGGGATGCATCTGATCTAAACATAATGTTTGTCCTCTATTCGTGTCTGTGTGAGTGAATTACAGCTAGGGCGGCGATTTGGGAAAGGCCTAAATTGGACCACCCTAAAAAAAATAAAAAATAAAAAATAAATAAATCAGAATTCCAATTGACCAGAGGCTTAGAGTGATCCTGTTATTTATTATTATTATTATTTTTAGTTACTAGTTAAAGCCCTTTTCCGCCCTGCGCTCCAGCAGCAAGCAGTCATTATGTCTGATCGTTAAATCGACATTTTTTGTCTAGTGCTATCTGATGTTTTTATACCAATCATGCTATAAGAGAATTTTGAAAATCTCAAACAACGTTGAATTAGGAGCTCAATGAGAGAAGTATAATAGAAGAATTGTTTGTGATTGGGCTGAGAGACTAATAATGATTCGGGTTGAGGCCCAAAAGGTCATGGATTCATTTTAGTTAGGGTTAGTCTGGGCTGCATTGATAGGAACAGAACTAAAAATCCAGCAACAGTTATTGTAGCACTCTTTCGTGGACGGCTAGGTTGTTTCATTCGGTCATGAAACCTCTTTTTAGTAGATTTGTTACGAACAAAGCACAAACTTCCACCAATGCATGTGCTGTCAAGTTGGTCGACAAAATCACGAGTTAACTATTTTGTTGCGCCATATCATAATCTCCCTTAGCTATGCTGATTTTATTTTAGTTTAGTAATGACTATAAGGCCCCGTTTGATTGCACGAAATTTTCCATGGAACTTGGAATTCGAATTCCAACTTCCACTTTTGGCCTGTTTGATTGACAAAATTTTCCAGGAAATTGATTTTCCACGAATTTCTAGGTACAACACCTTAAAGCGTGATTTTCCAACTTTTTTTTTCCTAGGGGATAGGTGGTTTTTGGTTTTCCACCTTTTTTTTATTTTATTTTTTTGCTTTTTTTATTTTTTTTTTAATTGTTGGCAATGGGAACAAATTTTAGAAATAATTGTAAAAGAGGATATCCCTGAAATTGACAATTTCCACGTAAAACAAAGTCAAACGAACATCAAAAAATACTTTTACTTCAACATTTTCCACGTGAAAAATTTATACAATCAAACACAATAATTTACAATTTCCATGAAAACAATTTCTAGGTAATTCAATTCCTTGGAATTCATTTTCTTTCCATGTAATTTTCCTACTTGTAATCAAACGCACTCTAAATTCAGTGACAAAATGTTTTTAACCCCATAAATATTAAATAAGGTATGCTTTTCCACAAGCTTTGCTTCGAATGCAGAATCACATAAAAGCACAAAATTCTGTACGAAAAGTGTGAGAAAATGTAAATAATAGTAACACAACTATTTTAATTAGTAGAAATATGCAAATGATTTTAAAAACATAGGAATTTGAATTAATAAATCAGAGGCTGTCTGGTACAAGAGACTTTCGGTTTCTCTGCTAAATTAGATGGTGTGGTCAAAAATAGAATATGCACGAGACAGGAGAATGCAGAGCTAGAAAGTCTCAAAATGTTTTGTGAATTCAACTTTTGGTCAGACGAAATGCTCGGTTGGGTATTCGTTCTCATAACCATTGTAGTCATAATACAATCTTTCCCCCTTTCGAATGTCTCTGCTTGCAATCAACAGCACCCGACCCTCGCCATTGACATCAAATCTCACACATTTTACGTTCTGCTTCTTCTTCCCATCCCTGCACCAGAAGACAAATTATCATCTGGGGAAAATGCCTTTTTTGACATCTTTCACACTTGAAAGAGTAATGAGACCCGATTTCAATAAATGGTTCTAGGATTCAACGGGGCAATTCCCCTACCTTACAAAAAAAAAAAATTGATAAGAATTCGTCCATGACAAGTGATCAATGTTCTTATTCGGGTTAAATCAATGCTATAAGCTTAATGTGACACAGATAAGAAGTCCCTTGATATAAACTCAGATTAAATAGAACTAAACTGTATAAAATAAGAAAAAGAAGTATGATCCAATATTGTTGGTGGTAGTATTGGGTCTCTCTCATCCCAAAAGCTAGGTTAAAAGGTGAGGCTTTTCCTCATACTTTTAAGTTGAATACCAATCCCATCCACAAGCGATGTGGGACACCTCAACAAATGCTGCATATGAAACTTGCACTATAAGATTTACTATACATTGCAGTAACTACAAACAGGCAAGTTTAACGTACCAGTGTAAAAAGAAAAATCAGAAAAGCAAGTGACATACAGTGTATGATTGTTGATGCCATTAATAAATCGAGCAATATTACTGCGTTTGTCTGGGCAGATGACTAGACTTTTTGAAGGATCAGAAGCAGAGAGAAGAGTCATCATGCTGTCTCCATCATCGTTTTCACGATTCTTCAGGTAATCAACATCTCCAACGTATTCTGTAATTATCGTTAAATCTCTTATAAATTTATCTGCCTCCACGGTGAATCTGTTACAACTGAACAAGAAATTAAAACAAGAATCCCAAATAATGACAATAAAATTTCTCGCAAAGAACAATTGAACACATTGATACCCACCCTTCGAGGGGATCAAACACAACCATCAGCGGTGGCCATTCCCCTCGTTCCATCATATTCTTGCACTGACTCAAGGTTTCTGCATCTTCTTTTGATAAAACCTATGGATGCAGGTTCCATGCAATGTTTTAACGTGTTGTCTAAATTGGCAATTGTGAAAATCATCGAGAATAAATCAACAAAATAAGTGCATAAAAGATAAAAAATGCTCTTTATGAAACTTTGGATATGATGTTGCACGTTCTAGTGCAACAAGAACAATCAAATTTCAATATATCTTTCATGAAAGATGCTTTAGTCAGCTGATATGCAACAGAACGCTAAAGTTTTTCTTTCCAATTTAACAAGGGATCTTTTCAGCCATTCAATTACGTGACAAAGCACGATCAACGTACAAATTTGAGATTAAGGTTTTTTTGCAAAATGCTATGTCCAGCCTTCATTTTAGTAGGATTTGTAGCATAACATCAGTTATTACGAGTAATTTTACTTGGAATAACATGCTCAAAATTTTTGACGTTGAATATACCTGCATTCCTTCTCTCTCAAGCGAAGAGCAATTAGCTGACCTCGGGGCCATGCCAGGGACATAAGTGAGCTCATTAACAAACAGTGTCTCAGTTGCTGTTAATGCCGTAGCCAGTGTTGCCATTTGTTCCAACCTTCTAATATAATCCTCACTAGGATTGAATGGCAATAACTTCCTACGCTTTTTTGCCATCACCAAGCCAGAATTTCGCCTTCGTCTCTTTCGGCTATCTAAGAAGGTAGACAAACAGCAAAAGGATCATATGAACTCCACCAGTTGGCAACTAGAAAAGCATGTTTGGTATACAATACTTGACATGATCATATAGTACAATAAATAAGATTTTAACTTCTTTTTCTTCTTAAATACAAATCCATTACTCTATTGCCCACCTTACAGAAAAAGTCATAAGTATAAACAATTGGTTAACAGAGACAAATAACATAATAAAACACTGAGATGTCTATTACCTGGGCTGAGCTTTTCTTCAGATGGTGAAGACCTCTGAATGCGGAAAAAATCAACGATTTTGGTTTGTACAAGAGGGAAGCCTGCACACCAACAATTAAGATCAATTCCTTAGTCAATCCAGATAACAACAGTATTTTATTCATGTGCTCAAATATTTAGGGCATGTTCTCTTTGTTGTTTTTAGACAATTTTCAGTTTTTAATTTTCGAAAACACTGAAAATATGTTAACTTACCTATTTTCAAAAATGAATTTTCAAAAACGCGGAAAAAAATTACAAAGAAACGCAAAACGGCCTTTTAGTCATTTTGCCTGTTTTTAGTAGAAATCAAGCCAAAACTTCAAAATGCGGAAAACATGGTGTTTTTGCCAATAACAGGATAGCTCAGTTGGTCGCGTCACGGATTTTCTTAAGGTCACGAATTCAATTCCGTTTCATCGCAATTCAATACAAAGGAATTTTCGTTTTATATGCACAGTACAAGAAATTTCAATTAAATTTCGTTTTTTTTGGCCAATAGCTGGATAGCATAGTTGGTAGAGTCACGGATTTTGAGATGATCACGAGTTTGATTTCACAAGCCTACTTTCAATACAAAGGATTTTTTTTTTTTAAATATGCACAGTGCAAAAATCTTTCAAATAAATTGGTAGATGGCTGAGATTTGAACTCGGTCACCAGCATGGAGTTTTAATGTCTTAACCACTATGACAACTGCTTTTGCTTTGTTGTAAAATAATATATATATATATATATATATATAATGATTGCTTTTCAGTTTTTCAAAACTAGAAAGTAAACGCGTTTTTCAATTATTTATTTTTGAAACACAATTTTTCAAAATGACAAAAAGAATGATTTTTTCAACAATCTTAAAATGGACACGCAAAACACAAAATTCAAAATGAATTCAAAACTCAAAATTAAAAATTGAAACACGAAGAGAACAGTCCTTTATCATTTTGCAAAACAGATGCCTCATCAAACTAAGCTCTATAAAAGGAAGTTGCGGAAGCACAAGTGAATTTGAAACTACAAGATACGAAACAGATTGTGACGATTGCTGCCAAAATTAGTCTAATTCAATCCTCTTTCAATCGGTATAAAGCCAAACCAAATACTCCCATTAACATGTGGGCCATATGTACAGTTCAATAGACCAGTAAATACTAAATATTGTGCCTTGCTTGTTCCCTAGAATCTATGGCATTAACAATATCCGTGCTCGACCTTAAGATTATATATGGAAAAAGATCATAGCATTCAAAATATACTAAGATGTAAAATTTTCTAATGTAATCTGCCCTCTTTGGTCTGTATTCTCTAAAAACTCAATTTTTTTCCTTCAAATTCTTTCAACAAAATAATTTTACAAGTAAATCTAACAATTTTCCCTACTTTTTATCCAACTAATATCCAAAAACTCAATATTATGATGATGTCAAGAGAAAGAGAGAAGAATATTTTTTAATGTATTTAGCAAATGAGAATTCGCCCAGAATTTATAAAAATTGAGGCAATCGTTTGGGTATGTGTGTCCCTTGAAATGAAGAACCCATCTGTTGGAAGTAATTGTCAAACGAACAGATGCACCTATTCAAATATTTTTGAAAATAAAATTATCTTTCAGGGACGTTGTCCCCGAGCCCCCATGACCTGACCGGTCAAGTCGATCCCCGTTGCGCAGCGGCAAACACTAGTCGGGGCGGCAAATCATTCGGAAAACAAAAAAATAAATACATGCAAAATGATGAAAAATATCTAACAGAACACACTCCTTATAATCTCCATTACATAAACCTTGCCTTCGACTCAATCTTTAAAAAAAAAAAAAAAAGAAAAAAAAAGTATGCAAATTGGTAGATTACGGGGAGTTCTTGGCAAATTGTATATGAAATCATCAAATTTAAAGAATTTCTAAATATCATAAATCCCAGAACATAGACTACCCATTACTAGCTTAACCCCGGAAAAAAGAGAAACAAAAAATATGAATTAAAATACTCAGAGAGAACAAACAGAAGGTAAGATAAAATTCGCAGGAACAAGATTTCCAAAAAAAATAAAAAAATAAAAAAAAAGGTATTATACTGATGCAAATTAACTGCATAAAAGCAAGCCCGAAATTAAATTACTTCTAAACAATTATATAAACAATATGAAACTTTAAAAAAATCATCTGAAAATTAAGAAAAATTATGGATATGAATAATTTAAAGAAAATCCATTAACATACCCGTGGGCTTGAGGTCCTTGGAACAAGAGGGGCAAAACCAGGAGCCTTTGGGAACGGCAACAAGAACGGGTCTTAGGCAATAAAGGTGAAATCCCAGGTCACATTTATCGCAAAGCAGAAGCTCCGAAGCCCGGTCACCCGAACCGCAATTCTCACAGCACACATCACTGTAATCTTCCTCTGATCTGGAGCTCTTTCTGGTTTTGGGTTCCTCAGAGAACGGCTTCGGAGCTAGGGTTCTTTTCCTTAAGGCCATTGTCGAGACCATTGTTAATGGGAAATGGGGATCGTGAATCAAACAGTGAGTGTGCTTGTGTGTAATGAATAATATATATTTATTTATATGAATCGAATCCTGCTTATAAAATGCTTTGGCGCGTTAATTGTTTTCGCGGGAAAGAGGGTATTTAGCGCCAAACAGTCACGTGAGTAGCATGTGTCTTGGCATGGAACTGCTTAAGAGTGGCAATTCCGTAATTAGCCCTGACCGACGATAAGCCCAGTTGGCCCAGATTCTTCGAGGCACAGCCTTGGCACTGTTCGAGCCATATATTAACAGGGTTTCGGGCCAACCTGCCAAATCCATCTCGTTGGCAATGTGGATCGGCCTATGTGGACGCTGTTAAAGTTAACCCACTTCTCTTACTCTCAAATGGGAAAATTTCATGGAAAAATTCACATCTAAGGGTATATTTGATTGCGAACATGAAATTTAGATGAAAAATAAAATAAATTCTAGACCATTGAATTATCTAGAAATTATTTTCATGAAAATTGTAAATTAAATATATTTGATTGATTTTATTTTCAATCTACAAAATATTATACGTGCTCATTTTTTATTGGTAGATAGATTAAAGAAAAGAAATAAATGAAAGAAAAAGGGAGAGTGAATTACTTGAAAAATAAAAACCAACTCCCCCAAGGAAAATACGATCACGCGATCAAAAATAGAAAAATAATTTTTATGAAAACAAAAGTAGAAATTTTAAAGAAAAATGACATTTTTTATGGAACATATTGACAATCAAACACACACACTCTAAGAAATTAAGTAAGACTCATTTCAAAACTAAGAAATTAAATTTAAAACTTCAAAACTAGATACTATTTAAAATTTTTTAAAATGTTTTTTAATTAAATATATTAAAATCAAAACTCTATACAATTTGATCACAAATTATCGAATTAATTGATCACAAGTTATTTCTTTGTCAGAGATCAAAATTTTTATAAGTCAGAGATCAAAATTTTTATAAGTCATACATTATTTCACATTTACAAATCAAAAATTTTTTAGGCCACATTTATTCATCGGTCATAAATCAAAAAATTTGTATGTCACAATTCATTTATCGATCATAAATCACTAATTTTATAAGCTACAATTTATTTTACGATCACAAATTATAAAATTAATTGATTACAAGTGATTTATCAATAACGAATTATCGAATTATTTGGTCACAACTTACCAATTTATGAGTCACAATCTTAAATTTTTAGGTCATATATTATTTATTGATCATGAAATAATCAATTTATTACTATCAATCTCAAATAATTGGTCTCCAACACTCTTAATTCCACCACCTTCTCCGTCGTTAACAAAAATCATCTCAAAACCTCAACACCAAAACATAGAATCTACTTCCACCATCGGCTAGATCAACTCACTGCAACATCGTTGACCACCATCTTGCCACCAATACCAATACCACCACCTCACCGCCACCACCACTCTAACAACCAAGATCTGCTGGCACCAAAGCGATTGTACAACGACGATGCATGGTTGTCGTTGTTACACTATTGTATAGATATCATTGTGCTATGACTTCTTTACACCGTGGCATCGTGCCCACGCTCCAGGTGCAGAACCAGCACGTGGCCGTGCGTGTTGGCTCCGCCGGAAACTTTAGAACCACTAGGTAGCAAATTGCGGAGTTGCAGTTGCAGAGCCGACTGGAGACGAAGGTAACAGAGGAAAGAGACGACCCTTTTTTTTGCTTGGGCCGAACTGCTAAAGCCTAAAGTAATTGTTGCTGGGCCTTTTTTTGTTTAGCCCAAATTCCTGATTCTCATATGAAATTAACAAATGGTCCAATACCAAACCATTTGTTAACTTCATTATCAAAGTCGTGAATTGGGAATTGGTCCAACCATTTTTTTTTTCAAAAGCAGCCACTGAGCCAAGAAAGAATCCAAAATCCTAATTCCCAAATCGTGAAAGAAAGCCAAACTCTTTTCCAGTTTTCCTCCCTTCTCCATTCTCCAATCCACACAGCGCCGACAAGTAGACTCTATCCCCATTCTATAATTCCAATTTCCATTCGAAAGAAGATGAGGCAGCGCAGACGACGCGTTTTGTAGCTTCTGCTGCCGACTGCCAAGCTGATTTCGAGTGCTGTGAGTCCGGTGACTCTTTCTCCCTCTCTTTTTTCTCTTTTGGTTTTGTTTTGTTTAATTTTGTTGGCTACTTGACTTGTTGATGTTGAGTAATTAGTAATGAATGTTAATTATGTTGTACTTATTGTTTCGGGAATTTATGTTTATGAAATTATGTTTGCGAATTGTGATTTATGATGAGTAATTTACGTTTTATAAGTTAAGATTATTGATTTGAGAATTTATGTTTGCGAATTGTGATTTATTATAAGTAGTTTATGTTTTAATGAGGAATGATTATTGATTTGAGAATTTATGTGTACAAAATTATGTTTGCGAATTGGGATTTATGATAAGTAATTAATGTTTTATGAGTTATAATTATTGATTTGGGAATTTATGTTTAGGAAATTATGATAAGTGAAAAAATTTAATTGAGAAGATATTGGCCGCTCAATTAAATCTGAGTGTACTCGATTTCTTTTTAATCAATTCTAAATGGAAAATAAATTGGGGCATTTTGCAGATTATGTAACGATTTTTTCAACTGAAACGAAGGTACATTCCCAATTTTTCTAGTTCTGGTTGTTCATCTAGTCCCGTCACTAATTCTAGTAGAGCACAACTGTTATTGAAAAACACGAAGAAGTCCCAAGCTCAATTCAACGGGGATGATCTTGTATCTAATCCTAGGATGCGTCCCCTTATCGTGTCATATGATCCTAATATCAAAGACGGTGTTAGGATGTCATACTTGGAGAAGGGTCCTTGTCAACTATATGGACATGACTTTCCAAGAAGACCGATAGAGAATGATAATAGATGTTTTTGGAAAGAATGGTTCTTCGAATTTTATTGGTCGGAGTAAAGTATAGAGAATGATGCGGTCTATTGTTTGCATTGCTACCTGTTCAAACCCGATAGAGGGGGTCATGGGGTGGACATATATTTACTAAGATCGATTTTAGGGATTGGAAGCATAAAAAGACATTGAAAGATCATGTCCCTTTTTTTGATAGTGCTCATAATCAAGCTTTTGCAAAGTGCACCAACTTGATGAATCAAAAGTAGAGTATCTCCTATGTTGTTTCTAGCCAAAGTAGTAGTCAACAAAAAAGTTATAGGACCAAGTTGACTGCGATGCTAGATTGTACTAAACTTCTCTTGGTGCAAGGATTGTTATTTCATGGTCATGATGAATCCAAAGAGTCTCTTAGTAGAGGAAATCTAATTGAGCTACTAAACTAGTATGGTGCTCGTTGTAAGGAAGTTAAAGAAGTTTTATTTAGTAATGCTCCTGGAAATGACTAATGACTTCACCAAACATCCAAAAGGATTTGGTTAATTGTTATGCAGTAGAGACGACAAGGGCTATTATCAATGAGTTAGGTGATTCTTTGTTTTCAATTTTGGTTGATAAGGCTCATGATAATTATATAAAAGAACAAATGACAGTTGTTTTGAGGTTTGTTGACAAAAGTGAGCAAGTGAATGAGCAGTTTTTGGGTATGTCCCATGTCACCAATACTTGTGCCCCAAACATTGAAGGATGTCATTGATGTAATATTTTTTACACATGGGTTGAGCATATTTAGCCTGAGAGGTCAAGGTTATAATAGAGCAAATAATATGTTAGGTGAGTTCAATGGTTTGAAAGTTGTAATTCTAAGAGAAAACTTACATGCTACGTATGTTCATTGCTTTGCTCACCATCTTCAATTGGCAATTGTTTCTGTAGCACGTAGAAATTGTATGCTTAGTGATTTTTTCAACATGCTTGCCGTGTTGTGAATTTAGTTGAGCATCATGTAAGCTTGTAGATGCTCTTCGATCAAGTTATCATTATAATATTCTGGAGAAATTTAATATTGGGGAACTTTCTGGTGGAAGTGGTCAATTTCAAGAAATGAATTTGGCATGCCCAAGTGATATTCGGTGGGGCTCACATCTACTGACAATTATTCTTTCATTAATACGTTTAATGCTATCATAGATGTTCTTGAGAATATATCAGAAGATGGTGTACATTCAGATAAAAAATCAATGGCCGCAAGATAGATAGACATTATGGAAGATTTTGAGTTTGTGTTCAGTCTCCACTTTATGTTTGAAATTCTTGTAATTACAGACGACCTTTCACAAGTGTTACAGAAAAATGATCAGGATATTCAGAATGCTATGAATTTATTGCATTTGTGTAAGTGTGCATTGTTGAACCTGAGAAACGATGGTTGGATACTTTGTTGAGTAAGGTAATTGAGTTTTGAATTGATAGACATATTTTAGTGCCCTTGTAGTAGTGGAAGGTTGACTTAGGCGTGCAGCTCAGCACATGACTTATTGTCATCACTTTTATGTTGATTTGTATTATCCTATGATAGACTCAATCGTGCAAAATTTGAATGATATCTTTTTAGAAACAACTACTGAGCTATTTACTTGCATTTCGTTTTTAAGTCCAAGAGATTTATTTGTAGCTTTTGATAATGATAAATTGCTACATCTTGCTCAGCTTTATCCTTTGGACTTCAATAGTGATGAGCTTTTATTACTTAGATTTCAACTAGACAAGTTTCTTATGCTTGTGAGAATGGACAAAACTTTCTTTAATCTCAATAGCATATCATGTGTAGCTCAGAAGTTGGTTGAAACTAGAAGTTCATGTTATTTTCCATTGATTTATAGGCTGATCACCTTGGTTTTGATATTACCTGTGGCAACTACAAGTGTTTTAAAGGGTATTTTTTGCTATTAATCTAATCAAGAGAGACTCGCACAACAAAATGGGAGACGATTGGTTGAATGACATTTTGGTGATTTACGTGGAGAAAGATATTTTTAAAAAACTTGAGAATGATGCAATATTGCAATGTTTTCAAAACACGAGACCTCGAAGAATGCAATTGTTTAAGTTTACAGTTACAGAGTAATCGAGTCAGGTTGTATCGTATATTTTTTTGGTATTTTAGGTTGTATTCATATGTATATAATTTTGACGTTTTAATTCATTTACATATATATTGAATAACTTTTAATGTTATTTAATCAAATTTTAATAAACGATTGGATTATTACAATAGTCGATTGTCGATGGTCGACGGTCAACGATCAACGATCAACCTCCGCCCTAGCTGGAATTTGATCCTGGATTTAGCCCTGGCACGCTTTGCAAGATTCTGCACCACGTACTCCCAATGAGACCACAGTCTGCTTCGACGATTGCCTGTTGTGTGGGAGAGGGAGAAGATGGGAGAAAGAGAGAAAATGTTATTGTTTGAGTCAAATTTAGTAGGTTGAATTGAATTGAGTGAGGTGGATATTTTATAATATTAATATTAATATTTGAATTATTACTTGCTTTATGAATAAGTAAAACTTATATCTCATTTTTTAATTACAATCTTTAAAAAGATGTCTCGATGTAATTTTCACAAATTTCATATCTAAAAGATTAAGTATGACCCATTTCGAAATTAAGAAACAAAATTTAAAAATTCAAAAATGAGATAATAATTAAATTTTATTTATAAAATAATTAATTAAAAATATATTTTATTAATTAAATATATTAAGATCACAATTTATTTTTCAGTCACAAATCACAAATTTGATAAGTCACAACTTATTTTTCAGACATAAATTTATTATATTAATATGTCACATATTATTCCATTCTTACAAATAGAAGAATTTATGGGTCACAACTTATTAAACCCTTGTTTGGGCTCCATTATAATAAAATTTTGAAAATAATGTATTTTAGAATGATACTTTTTGGGAGAATATATGGTTAAAAAGGGAAGAATTTTTTTTACGTATAATATTATTTTAGTAAAGAATTTGCGGTTGAAAAGAAGAGAGCGAAAATATACTAGAATTTTAATTGGGCGAAACAAGGGCTTAATGGTCACACAATATCAAATTAAAGTCACAAATTTATTTCTAGATCACAAATTATCAAATTATTAGTCACAACTTAGCACATTATTGGAACGCGTTATTTATTAGTCGCAAATCATCTATTTCATTGGTTACGTATAAATCAATTTTTTTGGTTACAACCGACCAAATAATTTGTATCCACCATCTTACAGTACCTCCACCAACACCATCGCTACCTCACGACAACCGACATCAACACCACTAACTCCACCATCTCAAACAAACAAATTGCACCACCATGACCACCACAACCACCATCGAACACCACTGCATACACCACTATGACCACCCAAATAAATGGTCTCAAACACTCTCCCCAACCCAAGCATAATGCACCACCACACCCACATAGCACACTACCATCGCACACCGCATCCACAACATCGAGCAACGCGCCATCACACCCATATCACCCCACAACCAAACCACATAAAAACCATTAGCCACCACAAGCTACAACTCCATCGGCCATGGAACAAATCAAAATCTGAAATTAAAAAAATAGATCTGCGATGGAGTAAGAAAGAGGATCATGCAGCAGCAGCAGATCTCGTAGCGATGCCATCGACAGCACTCTCCGACAACTGCTTACAACGACAACTTACGGTGGTTTCAATAGAGAGATGAGATAAGGTAAGATAGAAACAGAAGAGAGATAATCGAGAGATGAAAATGATTGAGGTTTTGAGTAGGTGATGGGGTATGATTAAGATGGGATGAATATATATATATAATTTTGTATTAAAATTATTAATATTTAAATTACAATTATCATATGATTTTTGAAAAAAGAAAAGAAAAGAAAAGAAAAGAAAAAACTAGTAAATCTTAATTTTAAATTTGAAAGTTTAGAACTCTAGCATGCTGTAATTTCCACTTCTCAAATCTCTACCAGGATTCAATCCTGTTTGGTTCAACTAAAATATTGATTAAATTAACAATTAATTTTAACCATAAAATTTGTCAGACCCACAATTTCTTTTACCTATACATTCCATTAATTATTATCAAAATCTTATAAAAATTTTATTTTTATATATACCAAATAAAGACTTAATTTTCTTTTCATGTTATTGATTTTTTTTTTTTGCTCTCTTATTCTACTATCAACTAATATCTTTCAAAATATAGTCAATTGCCTCGAGAAAGGATTCATCCTTCAGCTATAGGATTAGAGGAGTCCGCTTCCGTCCCTTGCTTTGTCTAAAAAATTACAATATAAATTAGATGGATAAAATTGGTAAATAAAATGGAAAAATATCGTTAGGTTAAAGCGGCAGACTGATTACCAATGGTGTTTTTCCGGCCTCAACATAAAAATCCAAGGAAATCGACCCCAACAAATCATAACACAAAACCTCCTATCCTTCCCAAACATAGGTTGCTCTTTATGTACCCACACAAGGACACGAATGGGGATATTATTTGTAGCCAAATAAGAAGCCACAAAGGCAGTGAAGAAGAGAACAAAAGACAGCAGATACAAAATCAGACAAAAGCATAGAAGTTGCCATGTTTTATCTCAAAGATGAGGAAGCAAATATCCTACCTTCTCTTATAAGAGTCTCTTTGAGTTTACTAATCATTTCTGTAGCATTAGGTTTCATACCACTGTAGCAAAACTAGTTTGCATCGCCTTTTCTTATTTTCAACTTTTTAGCCCACCTTTTTTGACTATTCAGCAAGATATTATCTTTTACATTTCATTTTTTCCAAACCACTTGCATATTTTCGCCGACTCTATCAATCCAATCTGCATCTCTCTTATACTTCTCCAGTTTTATTCTGTGTTGAAAATTCAAAACAAAAATATTAAACTCCCTAACAATTATCCATAAAAAAAAGAGTTAACGATAGAGTAATTGCAACGACAACGAAGACGAGCGAGGTATGAATTGTTTGACTTGATTCTTTTACAAAAATTCTTAGAAATTATGAGAAGAAAGTTGGGAATTTCTGTTTTGCTGGTTTTTATATGATTAATTTGGTTTTTGATGTAGTTTTTATTTGTTTTAGATCTATAGTGGAAAACGAATGGTTTTATGCTTATTTGATTTAATGTGATTTGATTTTAGTTAAAAAGTTTTATTTTTTGTTATTAAATTCAAAAGAAAAGAAATTCATATTTGATTTTAATGTTGTCGTGCTCAGTTGAATTTTATTTTTAGGCTTTTAATTGTTTTAGATCATATAATAGAAAACAAATTGTTTTTATGCATGTATGGATGTTATGTTTTTAACTTTCCTTTTCATATGTAATTTTTTTTTTTTTTTGATAAACCTGTTTTCTTGAAGTTAAGGTTTCAACCTGAGACCTTTTCTGAGTGCTGTGATGTTCGTTACGTAAGATATTATTTTTGGGGATTTTAGGATTTCATTTGTTCTGGGGGATTTTGGGTAAATCATTTTAAGGATCTTTGATTTATAGACCGAACGTTTTTTTACTTTAAGGTTACTAGAGTTTTTAGTACCGAGGTTAACTCCCAAGCTCTCTTCTCCTACTTCTTCTCTTCTTACCTTTCTCTTTCATTTTGAATCCAACCACTCTAAGGCACATCCAAGCGTTGCTGCTCAATCATAATCTATCATTTTTTTAGATATTCTTACCAAATATGATCGAAGCACAAATGATTTCATAGAATAGTTTCAACTTCCTGAAATTTGACACACGATTATCAAACTCAGCACTATCATGTTGTGTGCATCCCTTAACAAACTTGGAAAAGGAAATGACTAAAACGTAAAAGGAATATACATTAGATAAAATATATGGAATCATAGAATTGCAAAAGTAGTAATACTTACTTATAATAATGCAAAGTGATTGACTCTTTTATATAACAACAACAACAACAACAACAACAACAATAATAATAATAATAATAATAATAATAAGACCCTAGAAATTCTCTAAGTCTCATTCAACCTGGTTAGCACAATTGTTGTATATTTTGCTATTGTGAGAGTGCAAAAGAACTTTAATGATGGTAGCTATTATTGAGCATCAAATATTTTCTTCATCAACAAGAAATGCAGTAGTCATTTTGAAGGATGAAATTTCTCATAGTAGGAAGAAGTTGGCAACGAGAAATGATACAAGGTAAGAATGGATTGAGGAGAAGGAATAGTAGGAAATGCTGGTAATCTAAAATAAGATTTTCACATTGAAAACATTAAATAAACAATAAAAAAAACATAAAAAATGTAAACTCCATAGATATCTGACTCCATTCTTCTTTAATATTGAAGATATTTTTTTCGACTTCTACATTTGATGGCTTAAACTGGCTTCATAATTGGAACAAGTTATGATTTAATCCATATTTCAATTCAATTTTTTACAAATTATGATTCTTAATTGCTTCATTTAATTCAAAAATGGCATGGGAGTTTATTAGGAAATGAGGTTTTATAAATGCATTTCACTGTTGTATCATATTTGTCAGCTAAACACTATTTTCAATTAAAATAGTCATATGTTTAGCTATTATTCAAAAAAGGCCAAATGAATATTAGGGAAATTTTTTAAAAAAAATATATATAAGAAAAATCAACTCATTTTTTTACTTACAAATTATCTTTCATGAATTTTTCTCCAAAAAATACAATCAAAGGAAGAAAACTTACAATTTCTATTAACTAAAATTTTAGGCTCATTGCATTTAAACATAGCAAATAATCTATACAAATGAGTTCTTCTCCTTCTTCCAACGTGTACATGTAACATGAAATGCATGTAAATTATTTAAATATTTATATATGTATATATACTACACACTTCAGCTTGACAATTTTTGTTAATTTTGCAGTCATTTGTTGTTGTAGTAAAATTTCTATATTTTTATTTTATGTAAGTTCGAGGATTGTATATTTTTCTCCTATAGGAAACGAAGAACAAATGTAGAGAGTTTAAGATTATGTGTAAAATTGCGATGTATTACCGTATAGAATTTATTTCATCAAAATAAATAAATTATAATTTTTGTGTAATATTTATTTGTGATTTCTTATTCAAATGCATGTATTTAATGTGGTTTTCATTAAGTTGCATTTATGGTTAGTTCAATACTAGGTACGAGCATTTTATTGTCCTTCTTCCGAACCATCTGCAAACTAATTACCTGGTTTTTATAACATTGAAAACGTTCACGAAAGCCCAAGTGAATCATATAATGCTTTCATTCGTCAACAAAAAAGTCAAATACAGGCGGACAGGAGGAATCAAAACCAAACTGTGCACATTGATAGTCGTAGAAGAGTAAGCGATCCTAGAGTATCTGAAAATCATAATCTAGGTACTACTCAAGTTGATCAACATATAATGCGTTTTGAATCTGAGTCTTCTACTTCGAATGAAAAATCGACAAAAGTTCATCTTTCTGAACTACAAGAAAGTGTTAATTTGTTAAATATACCAACTACTGTATATGTATTACTGATATGCCATTATTGTAAACATTGTGGTGCACGTAAATTCTATAGGGAAAGTAAAGGTTTTTGTTGCTCTGATGAAAAAGTTAAACTATTTATACCAGATTCGCCAACTGAATTATATGATTTATTTACTTCAAAAGAGCCTACATGTATAGAATTCAAAAAGTTGTCACGTGGAGATAATAATCACTTTGCGTTCGCTTCATTTGGTGTGAAGTATGATAAAGAATTTTTTCAAACATATAAAGGTATTTACACATTTAGAGTTCAAGGACAAATATATCATTATGTAAATAAATTTATTCCATAAAATAATGCTCCTTCTTATATGCAGTTTTATTTTTATGACACAAAAAATGAGCTTCATAATCGCATGAAAATTTCAGAAAATTTAGTTGAATCTACTATGATTATTTTAATTGAAATCTTGAAATTAAATCCATATAGTAAATTTTTTAGGTCTTTAAGTGACATGCCAAACCTGCACAATCATCGTATACAAATAAGATGTGACCCAAAAATTGATCAGAGATTTTTTAATACTCCTTCAGCGTCTCAAGTAGCTGCTGTATGGGTTGAGGATGATGAAAATACAAATACTCGTGTTCGTGATATTATTATATATGGTCATTCTAGTGATTTTCGTAGAGTTTATTATTATTATGGTTGTTATGATTCTTTGCATTATCCTTTAATTTTTCCATTAGGAGAATTTGGTTGGCATGAAGGCATACAAAGATGCAAAAACATAAATGTTCAGCCTCGTAATTTGGTCGATTATGTTGCGGTTCCTAACACAATAAATTATGAAATTGAAATTATTGAAAAGAGGCTGCAGGTTTGTTCATATAATTTTTCGTACAGTTTTTAATTTTTACAAAGTCACTGTTGTTACTGAATATGAATTTTTTTTTTCTATTTTTCTCATGCAGTGCTTAATGGAACAAAGAAACGATCTCAAGTTTCTTGTCGCGAATATTGTTCGTACAAGTTACAAATTAGGCATTCTAGTAAGTTTGTATTACTTCATACTGGTAGACCTTTTCAACAGTATGTCGTAGATATGTACGTTAAGATTGAAACTGTCAGGTTATATTATTTTCGAAAGAATCAGAAACAAATTCGCGCGGAACTCTATCAAGGTATTGTGGATAGTGTTCAAAATGGGAAAACAAGAGGGTGCAAGATTGGAAAGAAATTTGTTTTACCACAATCTTTTACATATGGTCCTAGAGATATGCTAAGAAGATACTTAGATGCGATGGCTATTGTTCAACGTTTTGAAAAATCAGATATATTTTTAATTATAACATGCAATCCAAATTGGCCTGAAATTAAGCAAGAACTAAAATATAATGATAAAGTTCAAAATCGATCAGATTTAATTGCACGTATATTTAGAGCAAAATTAGAGGAGTTAAAAAATGATTTATGTAAAGAAAAAATCTTAGGCCCCATTGTTGCTCATATATATATGGTTGAATTCCAAAAAAGAGGACTCCCTCATGTGCATTTTTTATTGATTTTTAATTGTGCCCATAAAATTGTATGTGCTGAGCAAGTTGACAAAATAGTATCTTATGAAATTCTTGATGAAAATAAGTATTCTCATCTTCATTCTGTTATTGTAAGACATAATATGCATGGTCGATGTGGAAACCTTAATCCAAAGAATGTATGTATGCTAAAAACTACTGGTTGTAAAAATAAATATCCTAGAGATTACTGTAACACTATTATATTTGGTGATAACTTATATCCATTGTATAAACGTTGTAATAATAGTATTCTTATTAAAGTTAGAGGCCACAAGTTAGATAGTCGATGGGTTGTTCCATATAATCCTTATTTAAGTGCAAAATTTGACCGTCACATTAATGTTGAAATATGTTCGTCTATTAAAGTTGTAAAATATTTGTATAAATATGTATATAAAGGACATGATCGCTTTAATTTTTTTGTTGGCAAAAATAAAAATATGAAAGTTGATGAAATTTCTGCTTATCAATATGCTATATGGATATCTCCACTTGAAGCTATGTGGAGAATTTTTTTCTTTCAACTTATCAGAAATTTATCCAACTTTTTATTCTTTACAACTTCACATTGAAGATCATCAACAAGTGAGATACACCGATGAAGTTGATTTATGTAGTATTGTTAACAATGAAAATACGATGAGAGCTATGTTAACTGAATTTTTTTGAATAAATAAAAGAAACGAATTTGCTCGAACATTGTTGTATAAAGATTTTTCAGCACATTTTGTCTGGAATGGATATAAGAAAATTTGGACTCCTAGAAAGCAACAACTTGTTATAGGACGAATTGTCACCGCGAATCCAAGTGAAGGAGAGAGATATTTTCTTCGAATTCTTCTTAATCACATTAAAGGGCCAACATCATTTGATGATTTAAAAACTTTGAATAGGGTAACTTATGCTACATATTGAGAAGTAGCACTTTTACATGGTTTTTTAAAGGGAGACAATCATTGTGAAGAATGTTTATCTGAAACTATTGTATATGAAATGTCTGGTTCTTTAAGACGTCTTTTTGCTACAATGCTTACACTTTGTAATCCTGATCATT